TAAAGGGTATCAAATAGAGATGAAATCCTTTGTTCTCTAGTTGTGGGCTATTTTACATATTACAAGAAGAAAGAATTGATTGTTTGTACTGATTGTTTCTTTTATAGCTCTGAAACTATTGGATCAATTTAAAAAATCCTTTCATTTACGGGATTATACACGGGTGACATGGGCAATATACGCGGGTAAAGTCGCTGGAAAACAGCTACTCGTTAGATAAATATCAAGGAGAAAATAGAATTACAGAAAAACCGCAGCATTAGAATTTTGTTTTTGTTTCTGTAACCTGGTCAGGGAGACAAGGTAAAGAAGTGTTTGTTTGATTTATTTTGATAAAAAAATATATCACGTCATTTCTATTCATTGTATTTTTACTTGTATTTTTAAATACAAATCACGATCTAAAGCTTTAATACGCAGAACAGCATATCAAAGTTTTATTGATTTAGCCATTGATTAATCATATCACAGATATTGTCTTACGTCAGGTATGCATACAAACTGACACGTTCCATCCGTTAGCTTATGGACACGTGGCGGTGAATGTAAAATCACCCTAATGTTTTGTAGTACTTTATTAGGGTGTAGTGTATTGCTATCAAACAGTGGTCAAATATTTGGAATGGGGAAGTCAATTATAATACAATAAGCCCTTTAGTCTAATAAACCTGGTATATCTATTATTATTTATTTATATAACCTGAATGATTATTTTGTTTTTTTTTGAAGATGATATTGTTCTCTACAAAAGACGCAATAAATAAGTCATATATTAAGACTGATTTTTAGTTTTTTTTATGTATTTATTAATAAGTTTAAAACACAATAAAATTATGTATGACTCAAAAGGTAAACTAGAAAATAATATTTGAAAACTTTTCACAATTATAATCGTATGGAATAAAATTTAACTGACATTTGTATCGTCTTCTAACAACAATTTGTAATTAGCAACACAGACTTAAATAGGGATTTAAATATCCGTACAAAGATTTTGGTGTTTACTCATGTTTAGTGAGGTGACAATCTATAATTTTTAAGATATGTTAAGCAAATATAGTTTGTCACTGACTCGGTTTATTATTAGCATCTTTCTACACTATCGTCATAGGCTGATTACAAACGAGTTTTAAGTAAATGGCCAAATCACATAAGTATCCTTAGATAAGCATCGAAGCGACGTTGATTATACTTTAGTTAGCCCGCATCGTGCAGGAATGCGTCGAGGAACCCACTCGCACGTGACCGATTTACTCATTTACGACCCTTATAATAAAAACTATTGTAGAGGTTAAATGGACATGTAGGCAGTTAAGTTAAGGCAGAACTATATTGAATTATGCAATACTTTTGGACCAACTGTAAGAAATTATTAAACTTTTTTATGGTATTTCAACGATTTTATAGTAGAATTTGTATAATGAAACAAAAACACACTTTTATTAAAGAAAAGGTCCATATAATAAAAAAAAGTTTGTTAAATCTACAATAAGACCATAATTTTATATAAATAAGAAAATTGTCACAACTCTTGTAAAATAATCCAACAAAAAACAGCAACAATATAATATATAAATTATTGGCTTATTAAAATTGACTGCGTGTTAAAATGTCTGCAATTTTATTTCTGCGATAACTTTTTGTCTTATTCATGACAATCAGACTTATCGATAATTTTATTTAAAATAGTTAAGACATTAAGCATGTTTAATTTTATTTTTGTTCTTTTAAAGAACATAAATCGTTGAGCACTAATAGCATATTTTTCTACATATTATACAAAGAGACAGTGGATCGTAACAAAAACCCTTTTTAACATACAAACGAACAATAACTACACAAAACTATAAGTGACATTGAATATTCGACTAGGCGTGTGTATTGCACACTTCATCAATGCACACATACACAACAACAGTGTATAATAATATACAACGTGTCAAAGGATTTGATACTTTGGTAAGTTCCAGAGTTCCATTTGTAATCGTATATTGTAGGGTTGAAAAAGTTGGTCGTTTTTTGTATCCGAACGATGCACGTGGTGGGTTTGTGGTGTGGAGTTGTTTTTTTTTATTATTTTATGGTGAAAATTCCTAAGGACGATTCGGTTACGGGGATGGAACGTGATGCTTATACGTTGGAAAGAATTGATGACTCGAATTAATCTGGTCTTACAAGTTTTATTAATATTGTTTTTATTTTTGGAAATCATATATAAGAGAACAAACCGCAATCCAGTAGGAATGTCTTATTAGAATTACCGAGATCATTATTTCCAAAATAAATAAATAACATAAAACTGGACTGTACTCACACTTTTAAGATAAGGAGCTATTTTTAAAATTCCTATTCACGATATAGTTCAGTACTTATGGTATTGAAAGTAAATTAAGTTGTAAATAAATTAGAAAAATCAATAAATAATTGGAAAATAATGAATAAACCTAATCAATTAAATATTTAAAAACTTTTACTTGAGGTTGAGCATTTTATGCCAAAAATATCTGTTTTATCTTTTTATTCGATTCTATAATTCGTTTTTAAGAATCAAGTCAAATAACATTTCCAATTAAACCTAAAATACATACGTAGAACAAATTACTACAGTAGAAAATAAAATTGTTCTTTTCTGAAGCTATTTTTAAGTTCCATGTCTTAATTGAAACGAACGATGAGGGAACATTTTATTATATCAATTGGTTTATTTTGATCGCTTTTATTCTAGAGGAATGACGAGTTCAGACACACGACATACGAGTATAAACAAAGATGTTATTATTTAAACTTAATGTTTTAATATCGAGTGTTTCTGTTGAATATAATGTTCAGTTTCATAAACTTTTACAATTTAACTTTACGTATGAGGAGTTATTTCAAAATTTTACTGATAATCTCTGTCTCTGTCTAATGTCAATTTCCAGTTAGAATTATAATTGGTATGGTATTTGTCATAAATTCTAAGTTTCGTATGTAGCTTCAAATTGTGAAGCTATTTGGAATTTATTACATGATATCTGTTATATTCTTAAATATAAGTATAACAACAACTAATTAAATGTTCCATACTTTTAGAGAAATAAAATAAAAAGAAGAAAAAACAAAATCAAAATCTTTTGGTAGATGGAATATATTAATAACTAGTTGTTTTCTCGCGACGTTAGCTGCGTAAATTATAGCTTCTGCTACCCTCGTATGACGTAGTTGAAAGAGTTCGGTCCATCAATGCAAACAATGAAATTTCTCCTCTTTATAATATTAGTATAGAAAATAGTGGATACGATATAGTAGTGAACAAATACCTATATTAATATAATAGATATAATACTACGTATATCAAAAGCAAAGTGTTCAACAAAGTTTAATATAAACTAGTACATATCAAAAAATACGAATATACTTCTATAAGAATATAAATAACACACAATAATGATAACCAACGTATATTCAAGTAGATATTCTAACATCACAATTTTCTATAAACACATAGAGGAAATGATTTATCAGAGCAGCGTGATTTGCGAGAGGCTCGGCGATTATATCGCAGGAAGTCCAAGCGAGCCTGGAGACAGGAACCTATCTATCCAGCAAACAGCTGCATGTGATTCATTCTGCAACCATTGTAGCACTATGAATCGCCTAGAGCGACAACTAGAAACGTGCTAGATAAAATCTGGAGTGGCATAGAATACCCGATAAATATTATATATATGTAAGTAATGGGGATTTAGATTTACCGTATTTTTTATTGTGTATTTCAAGTGCGTCTACATAGGTATTCGGTCTCCTTTTTGTCCTTTCCTATGGATGGAATCGGATCAAACACGGGCGCAATGCGAATGATAGGGTTTTACCGACTGCAGATGCCCTCTGAAGCACGGAGGAGCCTGAAATTTTGGTCACCCATTATATAAACTGCCCTTGCGAAAATACCCTTAAAGAAAGTAATCTTTTCATTACAAGTTTTAGTAAGTTTGTTAGTGTGGGTCAATTGTTTGATTATTTCTTTTTAATTGAGTTAAAATTTTTCTGTGTTAAAATGTGATTTTGAACTCTCGAACTGAACCCTCGTGACCTTTCTACGGAGCTGTAGTCTTCCAAGGACCACCTTTCTATGAAATGGAATTGATCTGATGAAATATCCAGACATTAGCCATGTGACCTTTATAATTAAACCAAGCAAACTCATTGAATTTGGATTGATTGTCTATACACCTCTAGTTCAATATAATATACAACAAAAACATGTTGTTTAAACAAAAGAATTAAATCGTTTTTTTTATTTAACTCTATCTGTAATTAGTTACATATCGTTTTAGACAAATCTAGAAACTCTATTTTGAGCCAATTAACATCGACCAGTAGCGGCATTTTGATAATGTTGGAATACAAACATTATCAAAATGCCGCTACTAAAATTCAATCTATAGAAATGACAAAATAGTGATCTGTAGTAACCCATAAAGGTAATATTTCAAGTTCTCAAAGTTAAACAGATAATAATAATATAAGCTACATATAACATTACTTACAATTATTTACAAATTCAAGTATGAAGTTAAAATAACGAAAATAAATTTGTTTATTGTCGTTGAAACTTATGAAATCAGCGAAAAAAATCTTTTATGTATATCACAACATTTATACATACATATAAAAGCACTTTTCATAACAACAATAAATTAGAATCAACTAAACATAGAGTCATTCATAAAGAAAACAAAACTAATCAGTATCTACACAATCATAGTAACGAGTCGGCGCGTCAAAGCCTTTCGTAGAAGTACTACGTAAAAACGGGTCTATGGCACCGTAGGCGCGCGCTACCGCTCGCTCGTGCTGAGCGCGCGCCGACCCCGCTCCCGGCGCATGCACGGCACGGGACCACTATATAAGGTCCGCGCCCTTCCCTACCCTATCATTCCCTGCTGACTCGCCGCGCGCGCACGTCGCTCCGCATTGTAAATACGTAGTTACGTCGTAGACTAAGTTCGTAGATTAAAATGTGTTTGGCTAAGAACGAGGAATCACCGCAAAAGGAGGCGTCACCACGTTCGCCTTGGGCGAAGCTTCTAAGTCGCCAGGTAAAAATTACTTTTATTACCTTATACAGTGATTATTACCCGAAGATCTAGACTTACTTCGTATATTAAAGTTTCGTTCAGTTTTCTCAATTTATAAATAGATTTTTAATAAAAGTAAGAGCTTTCATAATTATGGTTGCAATGTTGATAAATACTTATTTTATTTTTTGTTTATTTTTAGAGCTCAAAGCCACGACTTCCAAGAAAGGTGACATCGTCTACGCGAGTGAATCTCAATAGGTGCTGGTCGAAGTTGGGAGAGTTGATTTCCAACTCGCCGCCCCGCACTGACCTACCATCGCAAAAGACTGCTTACCCGGAAGAGCCGGTCATTGTACCGTTTTCCGAATACTTTTACCCTCTGGAGCCGGTGAAACCGGCATTTGTCGAAGACAACGATAACGTAGAAAACCAAAACATTCAAAACTCCAGCCGCTTCGAGCTGGTTTCCGAAGAGGAGATCAACGACAATATGGCGAACGAAGTCCGCGAGATTTGCTACACCGCCAACCAGAACTGCGTCGTATGTAAAATTTGGTATTAAATAGTTTCATATTGGTTATATCGCCCTCTTCCCCGTTATAAAAATGCAGTGAAAACAAAATCGCGTCTTCCAACAGTAGATTTAGTGCGCACTCCTACGCGAGTGCATGTCCAACGTCTTCCATTAGATTTAGTGAAGTGGAGCGTGCTCACGGCATCTGAAAGCGAAGTTTTGTGATTGTTGTGATAAGTTGTCGTTTACCTGTGATCTGAAGCTGCTAAGCTCAGTAACAGACACCGTGTGCACGTTCCCCGTCTAGTAAGATCGGTCGAAATAACAGCCAAGTTTTGGTAGACAGCTTTAACGCCCGCACTGTTATCATCGCACAGCCTTCAGCTATCTTCTTAACTTTCTTCAGAAATAACATCCACTTTGATTGTATATGTCTATGTCCAATGTCTTCCATTAGCTTTAAGAGAGATTTATATTTTGTGTCTGTGATATATAAGAGTACAGCAATTTGAGCTTTAATTAGTTAAGTGAAGATTTAGTTTATAAAAGAGAATTTATGCCATAATTGTCTTTACTGCATACTTAGTTTATAGCTTTATTATAATAATTTTAATCTTTGTGTGCAGTGTAGCATCATATATTATTTTTAATGTAAATTTATTATGAACTTAGAATAAACATATCAACAATGAAAGCTTTAATAGTTTGTAGGTGTAGATGCAGTATACTGTTTGATTTTTTTATTCATAAAAACTGTAATACTGTATCTTATTCTAGAATATATGACGTTAAAAATTGAAGCAGCAGTGGGCCGATCGTGCCAATTTAATTATATAGATAGATAGATAGATTAACACTTTATTGCTCATGCAAAAATGGTAAATATGATTGTAAGTTAGTTTTGTAAGCTAAATTGTTTCTTATTAGGTATATAGAAAATTACTGAAAATTTTAACAATTTTAAGTTCCCAACATGGGATTAATTACTCATTATTACTTTTTACTCTAATTATAATGTTTTGGTCTATAAGTTTTAAATTGTCCTTTTCACGTTCTTCCCTTTGATTTTAGTTCTAAGTTTTTTTTCTTGTATTTTCTCTTATTGTAAGTTAAGTTCGTTTTTAGATTTTTAGACTGATACTGTTAAGGTTTTTCAAGACTTTCGTTTGATCTCCCAGTCTTAATAAATAAATGCTTATAAAATAAAATATATGTTTCACTTAAACAACCTTCAAAGTCCGAAGTCAATCTTATATGATTTTATAAGTGGCTGATTGATTACCGAGAGTATTTTTGTATCAGATCCGTGCTATCTTTATTGCAACACAATTAAATCTACAATACAGTACTTACCTACGTCATTAGCGATAGACCATTTAGTATTTGGTCAGTAATTACGTACAAGGCTCCTTGTTTCAGAATTTATACTCATAGAGGAAAGTTACCAAATACGGGATATTATACATATCTTAAATGGATTGCTAAAATTACTTTTTAAATTATTATTTTTATTTTCTCATTCTTCATTGCATAAAAGACAACAGAAATAATCGACAGAATTAATGAATACACTATAAGTTTAAAGAATTCCGTGTGTGAATACACTATAAGCTATTTTAATTTTTTTCCTTAAAAGCAATGATCTACGAAGAAATTTCAATGTTCTATACTAAGGATTATATTCCACATTCTGTTATTTTCCTGATGAAAAAACTGCCACCGCTCTGACACCAAGTGACTTTCACATATCACCTTTATATTTCAGTACTTTCGCCATTAACAAATTTATAGCCACATAATTTTGCAAAGGTAACGTTTTTCTTTTACTCACTTCACCATTACTTAGTCCCCACACTTTTAATAATTAGTACTTAAATTATATTTCAAATAAGCTCAGATAGATATGAGTGCATATATGTATATAAACACAAAACTTTTCTAGATTGAATTATAGATCAAAGACGTTTAATAAATAGACACGTCATACCCGTACATTATTGCGTTTTAAAACAGCGTAAACTTATTGTGGTAGCCAGAGACAAAGTGGATTTATAAGCATTTTTCATTAAGAATATTTTTCAGTACCTATAGAATTGTGAACGCAAAATTGATCTAATATAATAATTATAATACAACCACAAAGAGCGTAGGGAAATCAAAAACAATTTTCTCCCTCTCAAAATCAGCAGCCGACCTCTTTTAGAACAAGATAAACATTCTTGCATAGCTTTATGTGTCATTTGCTGCATCAGCAAGAACACGTTGCAGAAAAATAGTTTTATTGTCAAAATGTAATTTGTGCGTTGTTTAAACAAGCAGGAAGGCATATTTTCTACAACTTTTCACATAAAACTACACGTGTGGCGACGCCGCAAACCACAGTTGTTGTTTGTGCCGCGCGCGTTGACCAACCTGATGATGCAGGCGCTCTGATGCGGACATACCGCACTTTTTCAATAAAGTTTATTTACATTTAACTAAAGTATGTAGATTCAATAACTTTGACATTATAAAAAAAAAAACAAATAAAATCACACATTTTTCTAATTTGAATTCGGAGTTATCTTCTTTAAAATTTAAACTCTTTAATGATACCGAACCAGCCAGATACAAATGGTAAATAGCCAGAAATATTTTATTTCAATTTTATGCATACCATATGCGAAAAGACTTCTCCAACCTAATATTATTTGTTATATACATCAAAGATTTTAATGTTGTTTATAATTATTTTAATGTAATATTAGTAATCGTATTTTTAATGAATTGATTATTATACATGATAATCATTTATATTTTATTTTTATATATTATGTATTAATATTTATTAACTGTTAATTTAATGATGTAATGTGTTTTAAAGTTAATCTGTGTTTTATATTTAGCGTTATTAATTATTTAATTGATTAATTTTGCTCTCACTATCACATTGAGTTACACCTTTAATGATAGTTATAAGTTAGTTATAAGAGAGTTATACGAAAATATATAAAAGTAAGATTACTAATAAATAATTTAAATTGAATATCTGCACCAAATAGGCTATATAACTTTCAAACAATTGGTTTGCGATATGCATTCTTTTTGAAAGTTATTTATCCAAAGTATATATACACTATAGCGAAATTTATCTGCATTCTGTTAATCTGTCAATTACAAATCTAATTAAAATATTAATGTCTAAAAATGTGTTAAAAGGAAAATTTTGAACCTTTTTTAAACGGGGATGCGTCAAATTCTGTCAATCATCATTTACTTTCAACGAGTAAAGTTTTTATTTATGTTCTTACTACCATCAAGATTTAATCATAACTAGATCGCTTTTATGAGATATCTGAAAAAAAAAATAAAGAGCCTCCGTATATTTTACTAATATTCAATTACTGTGATTATTACCCCAATTATTATTTATATAGAAATGCTTTTAAGACCAATTAAAAAGTGAATTTACACGATATAGATTACTATACTTGCGTGATAACACTCAACTGATATTTTCTAATAATTTTTAACAAATAAGCAAGCACCATAAACGCCGTCCGGCGTTTTCTAAAAATAATTACTATCTCAACACAGCAAATCATTTCAGAGTAACTGTTTCACAGAGATGTGACTTATCTTAGATACAAGTATTTGAAATACAGATACAAGATACAAAATACGTATTTTCATCTTGTATCTAAAATACTTTTTTTAGGAAGAATTTTGTATCTTCTATTTAAATACTTTAGTTTAGTATCTTAGTATCTTTTAAATACTTTTTCTGATAAAATACTTTATTAAAAGATTGTTTCTTACATTTTATAAATATCTTTGCCTAAAAATACATATCTACAAAAAGAAAGTGTCCAATTATCAACGCAATGAATATTTAGTTGAAAATAACTTGAATCCAAACATTTTTTGGTGTCATTTAAAAAGTAAATACGTAGAACTGAACGTACGGTAATACCGGTGTAATACACCCTCCCTAGTAAAAATTGATAGATGGCGCATAGGGCTTGAAATCGAATAACCAGTTACAAGCAGTAAAAATCCTGTTTTATGTAAAAAACCGGTCATATGCTATAAATAAAACTCAGTATATCAATTAAACTCATTATTAACTTTTATAAATTTTTTGCGCATTATACTATTTTAAAAACCAAGTACTGTATTTATTTTTACCCACTCTCTTCATCTCACTAGGAAAAAATGAATTTTCAGTTCTCCGTAATTTTCTCATCTGGTCTACGTCGTCGTACGTAAAACCAGCTTTTTAAATAAATAATAATTTTATAATTAAATTTAAATAATTATTCTTGTTGTTATATTTGAGCATTTTTCATTCACAATGCTATATTGAAAAAACTTATTATTAAAAAGGAACTAAAAAATTTAAAATAATTTAAACCTGATGTATTAAATATTTGCATTTTTATATGTTACATTGTGATTGACAAACAAAAAAAAACATTTCAGGCTTTTTTAATTTGTTATCTCCAAACGGAGGAAAAGTGAATGAAATTTAGCTTGTAAGATTTGAGTACAAACACCGGTACAGGTGAAACTAAATAAAAGCTTGTAAAAATTGTTTCTTATGAAAATGCTTAAAAAATCCACTTTGTCCCTGGTCCCATCTGGTCCAAGATTTAGGTTCTTGTGGTCTTTAATAAACAAACTTAAATTCAAATATTTTTTAGAAAAGTATTTGTATTTATCAAAAGTATTTATAAGATACCTATTTTGTATCTAGTATTTCAAATACTTTTCTCGAAAGTATTTCGTATCTGGTATCTGAAATACTTAATTTAAAAGTATTTTGTATCTTGTATATATATACTTTGTACAGGGTATTTTGTACATCTCTGCTGTTTCAATACTATCTAAATATTGTCAAAAGTGTTATTCATTAAAATAGCAATATGACTCAAATGTAGCAAATAAATCGATCAACCGACATAAACGTCCAAAGAGTAAAGTATGGGAATGAACGTCGATAGATTGACACTTGACAGTTATATTTCAGTGTCCGTTATGCTTTTTTGAGTTTTTAATAAAAGAAGCAA